TACTATAAAGGAGGACGCCGGGCGCATTCATTCAGCATCGAAGCATCAGGTAGCAACACCACCGAAGAGCCTATATATATACACACACACGCATATTGCTATCTGATGGATCCAGCAGTAGCAGTAGCACACAGACGACACAAGCAGCAGCCTAAAAAAAGGCTTCAGGAGACAAGATTGCAGGGTGAGCGTCGGCCCAGCTCGAGGGTCCAAGGCCCACAATGGGTTGTGCCACTGGCCAACCAGAAGAGAGGCGTGAGGGAGTAGTATATGAAGTTCTCTAGAAGAGAGTTTTATCAATCAACAACAAATTGTATCTCACGTTGAGCACTCCTCTGTTCTAAGAACTCCTCCGATTTCCAATTCCCCTTGCTGTGCTGTTCTATTCCCTTTTCCGGTTCCGCTTGCTTACAGCCGCCAACCCCAGGCACCCCCGCTTCAGCAATGTCTTCCAGCTGCCCTCCACCTCCAACAACTACGGTATCACCGGACGCTTCGACGCCGAAGATCGATGATAGTGCCATTCAGTGTTTCAGGCTTTCACACTGACCGACCATCAGAAAAACGGACCAAACGATCAGCATTAGTCCGTCCAGAGCATCTCCTGAAATGGATGCTATAGGTTATTACATGATGATTCATAAAGGCTATCGTTTCCACTGGTGAAATTAATCTATCTGAATCTGAATGCAATGGATGTGGCCATGTGGGCCGATTGTAGCAAAGATTGCACACATGCAGATCGATGATACACATCACAACTGACACTACAGTAGTTTACAACATTTCATTATCCAGCGTGCGTCTAATTCTTCCAGGCTCCATGGAGAGATGATTCTTTTCAACCCAAGTATACAAAAGGCTGGCGTCTTTGCATAGCAGAACCACACGATCATCCAGTATATAGCCTGTTCGTTTCGGCTGGGTTAGTTTGAAGTACTGCTGACTAGTTTGGTGTGAGAGGAAAACATTGTTGGCTAGCCGATACATGTAATTACAGGCTGCCGAACGGGCTCATATACCGTCCGGCCTGGTGTACTGATCTTCTAGTCTATCTGGGTGCGGATGGGGTTGACCATCTCCCAGCTCAGCTGCTGCACGCTTACCTGATTATATTGCCGCATCTCCTGTGCTTTGGCCAGCCGCGCGCAGTCAGGTCCTAATCCACAAGAAGAAATCATCAGCGGAGAGCTACACATGGAAATCAGAGATGAAAGAGGGATCGCATTTTGATGAAAGAGAGTTCGAGGTAGTAATCTGTGTTTGTATCTAACTCTTTTGCGTGAGTGCAAAATGAAATGTTCAGTACACTAGCTAGTACTCTACACAATAGCATGGGCATAAGGCATAAGCATAAAAGGGAGTTGGATCTTGAGATATTGGAAACAAAGAGTTGGACCTGACCTTGATCCACATATCAATGGCAGCTCCACCAGATTTGTGCACCTTAGGCAAGTGTAATTTAGCTGCAATCAGTGGTGCACGTTTAGGACCAATATATATGCCGTTCAGCACGCAACCATGCGAATGCAAAATGAGCAAGAAATTAAAGCTTAGAAAATGTAACATACTGATTGAATTTGGCAGCACTCCTCTTTTGCCCTTGACACCAAGGGAAAGAAGCATCACAGCCTGACCATACGCCATGCTAAGATTGATTGTGTAAACGGGGCTACTAGCGCCTCCGGACGTCCACGGCTGCAGTCCATTTTCGCGCGTCCACACATGGGCCCGCGTCAGCCGGACGCTGCTCGTCTACGCGGGGACTGCTCGCGCCCCCTTCCGCTTCCAGGCACATCCTATGTGCAAACACTTGCAACATAAAAAAGTAGATGAAACACACGAAACATGGGTATGAGACACTTGCAAAAACACTTATAAACATTTAAAAACCATTGCAAACATATGCAACGTATAGATAAAACACTTTTAATATATGTGTGAAAACATCACGCTTGCAACATACGTCTGAAAAAACAGATGAAACATTGGAGACAGACTCTTGCAACATACGTGTACAATCATTGCAACATATGCAACATCCCGATCTACTTTTGTAACATCCGTATGAAACGCTTACAACATACCTCTAAAACATTTGAAATGTGCGATTGCAACATGTGTTTTTCACTCTTCTTCCATGCTCGCAGAGTAGAGCGGGGAAAGGATAGTGGCGCGGCCTGACAGCGGCCAGCTATGCCTGCGCTTGCCTGGGCCCGTCCAGCGACCGCCCCTCTCCTGGGGTGCCCCTAGCGATGTTCGTGAGCGGGAGGTCGACGCTGGGCCGTGCCACGTCGGTGGCGGAGGTCTTACTGGCCGCCGACTAGGCATCCAGACCCCGTGGTGGAGGCAGCAGCGGCTGCGGTCTCCCTCTCCACGGGTGAGCAGCGGTCGGGCAGCAACGCCGGTCGATCGGCAGGTTTGCCACCCGCGGCAAGCGGCCCCAGCTGCGGAGACAGCAAGCAAAGGGCGGGCGGTGTGGTGGAGGCGCCCATGGCGGTCGATGCTGGGTGGGGAAAGTATCGCTCTCTTTTCTTTTTCTTTTTTTTAGAAACCGTGTATATGCCGTGAGGTGAGGAGGACAGTGGGCGGTCTGCAAGATCAGTTAGAAGCGTCCGTTCGGATGGATGCGGGATGGACGCCAACGCTGGAGCATTAGTGTTGTGTGAACCTTGGATTTGCTTCGCTAGAAAACCAAAAAAATAGGAACCTACTATATTTTAGGTGCCTGAAATATAGCTTGTTTTCAGGCGACGGTACCATCAGATTCACATCCAACGACAATAATATGTGTGAAGTCACAACCAGCATAACAGGTCCGCGAAGAAACCCGGTATGTAGATCTCTTCCTTAACGGGTTAAAAAGAGACCTGTTAAACTTTTTTGAGTTGTACCGGGTACTTAAACATAGGCCCATGTTTTACACATTGAACTGGACTTTCGAGATTGGCCCAGCACCACAGAGAACGATGCAAATCTACACCTCAGTAAACCCCAGCTACAAGACAACAAAGACCTGAGAAAAAAATCGATAAACCAAAAAAACAAAGAGGAAAACTACAAGGAGGTGGAGAACAATGAAGCAGAAGAGGATCCGCCAAATGAAAAGGTACTTGCATGTAGAATTTGTTGTTCTCTTGAGTTCATCTCCTTGTCCTTTGTTCTGTACGTACTCGTGGGAACCAAAATCTGTGATGAGTGCATCCAACCAAAATGTTTTAGGATCAACCACCATCGCATGACGTGAATGATACGATTATTATATTACATTATTAAACCCGCCTGCAACGAGACGCTCAGCATTTTAGCGTGCCTCCTCGCAACTCAAGTTGCGACACCCTGTGGATGCACGTTTACATACGTGCCCACCTAATAGGTATCACATATAGGATGCCGTTTACGAAACTATACAAATTATCTTATGGCCGTCTTATTTTTAGCGAAACGAATAGTGTGGGCAAATCGTGAACACAGGTAGCTTTTTAGTAAAGCGAAAAAGACCTGTAGTGGAAAGCTGCTTCTCCTGCTGTGGCTCCTAGCCTCCTCACAAATCACTCTAGCCGGTGGCTGCAGCAACCACTTTCAGCCACAGCCAAACAAGTCCTATTTTTTTTTAAGTCCGGGTGGGTATCCACAGGTATAATTTAAGATCTGCACCTCCAATCGACTATGCATTTGTTATCAATAAAAAAGAAGAAACGATTATCCTAAAGTCGGATTTTGAAAAAGGCATTTGATAATTCTATGATGCGGAAAAAAGGCTTGCGAGATAAATGGTCAAATTGGATGAATATGATCTTCAACTCAAGCACATCATATATTCTTTTGAATAGAGTCCCTAGTAAAGTCATTCACTAAAGAAGAGGAGCCAGACAAGGCGATCCTCTCTCACTTTTTATTTTTGTGTTAGCAGCTGACTTTTTACAGAGTATCTTGAACAAAGCAGAGGAAACCATAGTCACAAAAAAATGAGATAAGAAACATCAACCCTCGACCGGGGAATCTCGTCCCCAACCCATGTACGCGGGTCATTTTCAACCCCGTCGTGTAAACAACTCCGTTCCTCGGTCTCATCGGCAAGGAAACTTTGTGACTCTGATTTAAACCTTATTAAATTAACGATAAACAGAGTTGTACGTGCATTTATATAGGGGTGAGAGTGTCTGCACATGTGATTTGGGAAAAAAAAAACTCCCATGTAGCATTTTATGTATTTATCCAACAATTATCCAGGAGATTGTGATTTTTTTTTCTCATTCTAGGGAACCAAAAGGATCAGAGATGAATGGGCTAACTGCAAAAAGTTCAGCACAAGGGACGGCCCAATGAAGGAATGGGCTAGTCTGCAAGTCCAGCAAAAGGGGACCCAACGAAGGAGGCTCCCGAGATCTACGGGGCCGGCCCGGCCCAATAATGACCACCATCGTTGGTGCGTGCGTGCACCATCTCCTTTCTCCTCCCTAGTTTCTCAACAAAACAAAAAAAAAAAAAACTCCTTTCTCCTCCCTGTCAGTTAAGCTATCTGTTCTTCTGCACAAAAGGAAAAAAAAGTTAAGCTATCTGAGGAAAATTGAGTAAATATTCCTCTCCTGGATTATTCCTAACCTTTCTGCCCGCCCAAAGAATTCCTCTTCCTCCTCTGGCTCCCATCCCTTGGAATTGGAAGTTGGAACTGGACCTCCATCCTATCCTAGCTGCAAAGCCTCACCATTTCCAGCAATGCAATGCATGTTAAGTAGTGATGAGCCCCCCAAGCCAAGTCTGGAACAATCCGGCCGTCATCTATCTTATATTTTTATTATATACAGTATGATATATATATACATGCATATTGCGATCTAGCTCTCTCATCTCATCTCACCATCCATCGGCGTTCCAGAGCTATTAGCTGATCGATCCGATCCAGCATATACAGACGACACAAGCAAGCAGTTAGCTATCTGCTATCACACTAGCTAGTCTGATCCTTCTTCCAGCTGATAACAATCCAATAATACTCCATGGCCACCGCCGGCAACAAGCAAGGAGGAGGCTGCTGCAAGCCGCCTGCAGCAGCAGCTGATCAGGAGTTCGACCCGAGGTACGAGTGGCAGGAGAACGCCACCAGCTTCATCCTCCGCATCCACCTCTCAGGTACCACACGCTAATGCTGCTAATGGTAATGGCTGCACAGTTCCTTAGCTGCATGCACATCCATTGCATGACTCTTGTGTTTAATTTCTTGCTTGTAAAAAGGCTTCAGGAAACAAGATTTCAGGGTGCAAGTCGACAGCGCCGGCCGCCTCACCGTCCGCGGCCAGCGCTCCGACGCCGCCGCCAACCCCAGGCACTCCCGCTTCAGCAAGGTCTTCCAGCTGCCCTCCACCTCCAACCTCGACGACATTGCCGGACGCTTCGACGCCGGAGTCCTCACGCTCACCGTGCCCAAGCGCCTGCCTGCGTCGCAGCAGCAGCAGGTCCAAGATCTGGCGGCGGCCAAGCAGCAGGCAAAGGCGCCACCGGCCGGGGACGCCAAGCCGACGCCGCCGCAGGACCAGCGCAAGGCAAAGGAAGACGAGGACGCCAAGAAGCCCAAGGACGACGCCATTCCCAAGCCCAAGGCCAAGGACGAGGATGCTACCACCAAGAAGCCCGCTGCCGAGCAGCAGGTGGTGGACGCCAAGAGCGGCAAACCGGAGCCAGAGCAGCAGCACAAGGCGGCGGCGCCACCACCACGGCCGTGAGGAAGGAGGAAGGCAAGCCAAACCCGGCGCCGCTGCAGCTGCACCAGCACCGGCAGCGGCAACCGACACGAAGGAGCAGGCCGCCACGCCCAAGCCCGCGCCGCCGCCGCCGCAGGCTGACGCCGAGAGGAAGGCGGTCGATCCGGAGAGCCTGGCGGAAGGGTGAATCGGCGCGCCGAGGAAGAGCGGGCCAAGGCTGCTGCGGAGGCGGCTGCAGCAGAGGAGGCGGAGCGCCAGAGGAAGGCGTGCCGTGGCTTCAAGGAGCGCGTGACGGAGGAGCTGCAGGGGCTGGCGGGATCCGAGTGGGCGGAGGGCCTCGTGGAGACGGTGAAGAAGAACAGGGAGGTGATCGCCGTCGCCGTCGCCGCCTTCTCCCTTGGCGTCTTCGTCTCCAGCAGGCTCTTCTGCAGGTCCAGCAGGAACTAATAGCCAAGCGTCCAGACATTTATGACAACGTAATATAGCTTGTCATATATACAAGCACAAACAAAAGTGAAATTTGTAAACATGTTTATACATGTATGTACAGTGGTGATGATTTGACAAAGCTAAGGCAAAACTTGAATTACTATAATATAAGAATTCATGTTTATACTTGTGTCAAGACCCATGTTCCAAAATATTCAGATACTGTACATACGGTGAAGAGAGAATTTCATGCATCAGTACACAAAACGAAACAAGCCAAGATGATCATGGCCATTCAGTGTTTCAGGCTTTCACATTGACCACCTGAAGAATGGACCAACGATCAGCATTAGTCCACAACATCTGCTGAAATGGATGCTATAGGTTATATGATGATTCATACAGGCTATCGTTTCCACTGGTGAAATTAATCTATCTGAATGCAATAGCTGCGGGCCGAGCATAACAAAGATTGCACACAGATGACACACGTACAACTGACACTACAGTTTACAACATTCCACTATCCAGCGTGCGTCTAATTCCAAGCTCCATGGAGATGATTCTTCCCAATCCAAGTATACAAATGCTGGCTTCTTTGGCTTCTTTGTATAGCAGAACCACACGATCATCCAGATGAGCATATACCGTCCTGGTGTACCTTTCTAGTCTATCTGGGTGCGGTTGGAGTTGACCATCTCCCAGCTCCAGCAGCTGCACGCTTACCTGATTGCCTCATCTCCTGTGCTTTGGCCAGCTGCGCAGTCAGATCCTAATCCACAAGAAGAAATAATTAGTGGAGACTGGAGAGCTACATATGGAGATCAGAGATGAAAGAGGGATAGCAATTAGCAAGATACCTTTGGCTTGAAAGAACCATCCAGTGAGTGCAAGATCGTATCAGCAAGTCCATAATCAATAGCCTCTTGTGCTCTGAAGTACCTCGGTCCCTTAAGGAATTCAGCAAGCTCTTCCTTTGGTTTACTAACTCCTTTCGACAATAGTTCGAGGTAGTAATCTGTGTTTGTATCTAACTCTTTTGCCTGAGTAAAAAATAACATATTCAGTGCACTAGTACACAATAGCATGGGCGTGAGGCATAAGCATAAAAGGGAGTTGGATTTGGATCTTGAGATATTGGAAAGAAGAGTTGGATCCGACCTTAATCCACATATCGATGGCAGCTCCACCAGATTTGTGCACCTTAGGCAGGTGTAATTTAGCTGCAATTAGTAGTGCACATTTAGGACCAATATATAATATATGCTGTTAAGCACACACCCATGAGTGAATGAAAAAAAAGCAACAAAACTTAGGAAATGTAACATACTGATTGAATTTGGCAGCACTCCTCTTTTACCCTTGACACCAAGGGAAAGAAGCATCGCAGCCTGACCATACGCCATGCTAAGATTGATTGTGTAAACCTTGGATTTGCTTCGCTGCCAAACCAAAAATAATAATATGCAAAAGTCAGAGTAGGCAGTTTTAGTTCTTTTATCCATGCTTCAGTTTGCTTCAAAGCAAATAAAATCTTAACAAAACATATGTCATGTGCCAAGATTCTTCAGCATAGTTATCAAAATGGGAGGCATGTGCTACTAAAATATAATATTTATCATTTGGTCCCTTGAAAACATTGTACTGACGGGCAGGACTTTACGCATAATGTTGCTGTGTGTTATAACTTATAAGCTACTACTACTCTGCCAGCGCCTTTCAGTTGAATTAAGCCCAAATTGTTTATGATTTGAATTAAGGCTGCCTTCCCACATACTAATTGAATCTGGTACATTAACTTCATCCCACATGATTATTCATCCTTTTTGTCGACTCAGTTTTAATGGTTCATTTCTCATGTTAGTTCGAGTGCCGACAGAATCAAAATGTGTAACAGAACCTAAAAGTTCTGAACAACAGACATCATCTCCAGCAGGCAACGATTTATCTTGCTTTCAAGTCTTTGGCCAAAAAAAAGATCCTTAAGTGTGCAACATATTTAATTGCTCTGGAATCTGGATTCACAGTCCTGATCACTGCATGCACTCAAGTATGCACAGAAACTCTTGAGATTACATTCAACCATAGATAAGAGTCCTAGGCATGATAATAACATCATTAACAATGGCATAAAATTATGCTGGATTATCAGTCAGAGATAGAAGATACAGCCTTACATTGATAAAATCAGCAATTGCATAAGCATCAGTTTCAGATGCAACAAGCTCATTATTCTCATCCTGTTACAGCACAGAAGATGTAGTCATATAAATAGTGGCAATATGCACCGGAAACATATGAAAGATGACATGATTTCTTATTTTTCAAACATTCAAACAACTACTTACCATAGTTCCAGTGGAGTTTATATACAGATAAATGGGTTTTGTGCGGTCATCGTAGTCTAGCCATAGAAATTGAGCAGCAATAAGCTCAGTTACTGCTGGAACAATCTGCCAGTATAACAATGGCACTGAATGTTACCATTTGTTGAACCAAACCTTCAAAATATTACTGATAATGAAATGAGGTAGAAAGTTGATCTCTCACAGGCATTCCAAGAAATATAATTCGAGAGTCCAGTAGCAATGATGGCAGATCTGGAGCAGAGCTTCTCATTCTTCTATACCCTCTCCCTCCTCTGCCCATGCTCATGCTCATGCTGCCCCCCATGCCCATACCCATGCTGTAACTTGCAGGTCCCTCATGCATGCCTGACAAGGTGTACATACCAAACTCATCGTAACTCCTAGCAGCAGATACGCTTTCCTAAAGTTCACAGGGAAAATACCATCTCAACTCTATTACATTGATGTAATGGAATGAACTTGACAAAATAGAAATGGGAAGGGCTGTAAATAACATCACTAACCTCTGTAACTTTCTGGGATTGCCGATTATAAGGATTGTCATCATTCATAAACATTTCCATCTGTGCAGAACTTAATCCGTAAAGGAATTGAGGAACATTCTTGTAATTATCCATCACTGCCAGAGGACAATATACTTTAAAGTGGTGCAAAACAAATAGCAAGCACAGAAGATTTGATTGACAAGATACAGAAGCAGATCAAGAAATTGGAATAACCCTCACCACCTAAACCTAAAATGTTGTGGCCGCTACACAAATTATGAACGTGTAAAACATGTAGAGTTTGATGGACTTTTTCTCAAAATAGGTCCTCCGGTGCATAGTAATTTTTTTTTTTAAAAAAAAGAAGGTGCAAATATCTATTTTAATTTTCTTATGAACCAGCTAGTAAATTTGGTCCTTTGCCCAAAAGTTAAACTACCACATGGAATATTCAACCCTGTGCCAAAGGTTTGCCCAAATCTAAAGTGAGGATAGCATATTGCACATCAGGGAACCTTGTGGACCATTGCAAGCTCGTTAAATTGGAAATCTCCAATTCAAAGCCAACATTATCTCTGAGGTCTAACACTTTGCAGTGGATAAATGAACATGTAGATACTACTATTTCGCTGAACTAGATGCCCACAGTTGAAAGCAGCTAATCTTTGAGACACTACCATGCAAGGCTTAGTTGGGCAGCGTTGGTGATCTTGCTTGGCTGTATACAACTCTGTGCATTTGTATCATCAAGCCAACATGTAATGGTCAACTATAGGCTGAAACAGTACATTGTTATCCTTGGATGACATGTTCTGCTGATTAAATACGCTGTGGCTGGCCTGATTAAGTTGCGCTAGGTACAGTGGTGTAGCACATATATACGGTAGCTGCCTCAAGCAAACATCCCGTATAGCACTCTCGGCAAGCAATTGCTCTCCCTAGTCAGACTGAATCATAGGCACATCCGCATATTGCTTATTCACTGACTACATAAGCAGGAGTATCAAGACACAGACCCTACACGGCTACACCTAGCAAGTAGCGGCCCCTGGGGATGAAGGCGGTAGCAAGTATGGGGGAGGACAGAGCACTCACATCCATCCTTGAGGTTCTCCTCGCGGAACTGCTTGGGGATGTGGTCGTAGCTCTTGCGGAATCCGCCGTCGCCGTAGTAGCCGTGGCACTTCCAACTTGCGGGCGGCCTCCTCGGGAGCCTCCCCGGCGGGGCCGGGGAGGACGAGGGCAGGAAGGGGCTCCGGGAGGAGGTGGCGGCGGGGGGGCAGCGCAGCGCGAGCGCCATGGGAAGCGGGGCGTGTGGACGGGAGTGGGAGGGGAGGGCGGCTGGGCTGCGCTTCACTCCGTCTTCCTCCCTCCTCTGCTTCTGCTGCGCTTGCGGGGATTGGAATCGGATGGATAACTGGACAAGGGTAAATTGGGTATTAAAAGATATAATAATAAGATCATCTTCCTTGCTTCTTTTTGTGCGAATTCACTCAGCCCAGGATCGCTTGTTCTAAGTGGGCCTAATCTAGCCCACAAGGCTGGATCGTACTAGTCCCGGTTGCAGAGGAAACTCCACGACCGATAAGGCCTGATTCCACTTGGAGTATTGGACAGGACACAGTCCGTGTCCGCACCGAGAAGGCTAGGCGAGACCTTCCCGATATATATGGCCCCGGAGAACAACGGCGGCGATCTTCGTCGATCGAAAAGCTCATGGGCGGTGCCATGGAGAACAACGGCGGCGAGTCACCTTCCGTTGGAGCCTCGAAGGTGAAGAAGGCCACCGATTTCTTCCCAAACAAGGCTCATGTCACCGACGCGCTCCGCACCATCCTGGCCCGCCTCGACGCCTCAGACCCGGTGCTTGTCTACGAGAAACAGATGCCGCCGTCCGACAGGAGCAAGGGCCAGAATCGTCTACTCATGTCGTGCAAATGCGAAAGCAAGAGGGCCGCTTTCGCTAGCATATTCACGGAGGCGGAGATGCCGCTGGTGCACCGGCCGCAGCCGCTGAAGACAGAGGACGAGAAGCACGACAGCAAAGACAAGGGCAAGGGCAAGAAGAAGAAGGAAGGAGGCGAGGACGACAACAACAGTAAGGTCTGCTGCGGCAACAACAATGGCAAGCACAAGATGACCGACGACGGCGGCGGCAAGGAGGACGCGGATAAGGACGATGAGCAGGGGAATAAGCAGAGGAGCACGGTTCAAGGGCTTGCTGTGGAGGCGTACGACTGCGACGGCAGAGCGTACGAGCTCAACCTCAAGTATCTATCGTGCAACACCGCCTACAGGATCATAGGGCCCGACTATACAGTTTTTCTGAAGAACAACGGCTTGTTGGTCGGTGGTGGCGGGGGCGTGACTCGAAAGCGATCTGGGAAGCGAAAGAAACGCCGGAGCAGTTTGCCAGACGAGGAACCAGACGATGAGCAGACAGCAGTGCGAGACGACGCCGACGACATCCTCATGGAGCTCTGGGCATTCCGCTCGCCAAAGCTGTCAATTGGGGAGAAAGACCAGCCGGACGGCGCGCTCGGGCTGTTGCTGCTGCACCACCGTGGAGGCGAGGCAGGGCAAGGGCAAGGGCAAGTCCGTGTTGGTGGCGCGGCAGCGACGGAGGAGGTGCGGGTTGCCGGGCCCCAAGAACCAGAGGTCGTCGTCGACGTTGAGCAGCCACAACAGAACAGTCATGGCGGCATGGCGACACAGGGCGAGGACATGGTTGCCGCGGGAGATTGTGCGGGGAACGCGGCGACCGTCGTGGATGATGCGACCGGCAATAAGCTTGGCGACGCGGCGCCGCGGTCCACGCGGGATATGCCCCTTCGTCCGCTAGAGAGGTTGATTGCAGTATGGCTGAGTTTCCTCAGTTCCGATGCTGATCAGAGTCACACGGATGTTAACGACAATGGTGAGGCAGATGCTCACGACAAGCAAGGGCCTAGCAAGGTTGATCAGAGTGATGAAGTCTAGATAATTTTTTTTTTCTGGAACATGGATTCAAATAGTGGGACTAGAATCGTTGTGGTTTTACCGAGTAACTTTATCTTCTATATAAACTTAGTTTTCTTACCAGAGTAGTAGTAGTTTTATTTCACAGTAAAGTAGTCCATGTTAATGCAAAAGAATAATTCTTAAAAAAAGGTCTTGTCATGATGATTGTTTGTTAGACTAAAATATTCAAGATTTAGGATAGTACTGTGCTACATGTGTCTCTCAATTGGCGGATCTCTATAGAATCTCTAAAACTAATAAAAAAATAAAGTAAGACAATGTGCGATCCCACAAGCGTCGGTCCGCCTTTCCCCTGCGATCCGCGAGTCGACGCTCGTACGCCCGCGCCCGCGAAAAAAACACAAAAGGAAAGAGGGTTTTACCCGTGTGCCATTATAAAAGTTGGTAATTACACATACGTCACTAAAAAGTTTGAGCGCACCTAGATGCCACTGGCCGAAACTTTTTTGTCGTCCACACCATTCCATCCATTTATGCCTCTAACGGTGTCCAATTGTGATGAGAAAAGTCTAAAATGCCTACCAAGTTTGAAAGACATGTAAAAGAGTTTCTTTCCTCTGGTGCCACTAACCTCCAACACAGTGATCCCTTTTGGCATGACGTGCTCAGCTGGCATCCTCGGCATGTTCCAGTAGCTCGAAGTGATGCCATCCATATCGGTGATTGTGCGAGAACGGACAAGCATAGCAGAAAGGGCATCAGGCAAGAAAGGGCTTTGGGACGTGAACACGTAGCACAGGCACCTAGGTGCAGGACTTGGGGAGCAGGTAGCCAACATACATGACCGTGGCGTTCTTGCACAGTCGCACTTGGCCGACGTGCCGTGGCATGGCACGCCACACCTGAGCATCACTGCCACCGGCGTCGACGCGTCGTCGTCGTGCCCTTGATGTGGACGTCGTACATGGTGCCGGTGAAGGTGACCTCCCTCGCTGGCGTACTGACCGGGGCTACCGACGCTCATGCCATGGCCGGGGCCTAGGGCCGCATCGCACGCGGGCGACGTCCACGTCGCCGTTGCCCTGGCCGATGGAGACGCAGTCGTCACCCGTCTTCAGGCTGATCTGTGCTCACGGCCCAGCTGGTGTGCGCTGAGTACACAGGGACTCCGGGAGCAGCTTGCTCTGGGAGCGCCATGGCCAGCATGTGGCTGGACACAAACGTCACCCACACGTAGGCGCAATAGGCGGTGGCGAGGCCTAAGGAGGTGCATCACGGTCGTAGCAGTTTTTCTATAGGTGTTCCAATGGCCATGCCCAACCCATGAATGGGGAGTTGTTGCGCTCGCTGCACCGCCTCACGCGGGACATGTCCACGGCCGTTGAGACGCCAGCCCCATTCCTGCGCGGCGCGCTCGCGTCCATCACCGGGCGATCCAAGCTCCTGGTCGCCGCATTCGACGACCTGGTCCTGTTCGCCACGGCCGGGGACATGCCGCGGTCCACGTCGCTGTGCCTGCGCAATATAGGAAATTGAGCGGGAGATCGTGCCGGAGCAGGAGAGGCTACAGGAGATCCTGGAGGAGGTGGGCATCAACGACCCAACAACCTACAGCGAAGATATTGAGAGCCTCGAGCGTGAAATCGGTGACCGTGCCTCACAGAGGTGGACAGACGCCAGGACACCGATGGGGCGAGGGCCAGGAAGCGGCGCTCTTGAAAGCTCTAGTTTGGTTTTGGTGAATTGATGAAACCCTTAGTGCTAACCTAGTTTATCAAAGTGATTATAAGATAGGTAGCACTACTCCAAGTGATGAAGCAAATGAAGATCATGACATGATAATGGTGATGCCATGGTGATGATCAAGTGCTTGGACTTAAAAAGAAGAAAGAGAAAAACAAAAGGCTCAAGGTAAAGGTATAAGTGATAGGAGCCATTTTATTTCGATGATCAAGACACTTAGCGAGTGTGATCACATTTAGGTTCGATAGCCTTACTATTAAGAGGGGTGAAACTCGTATTGAAATACGGTTATCAAAGTGCCACTAGATGCTCTAACTCATTGCATATGCATTTAGGATCTAGTGGAATGCCAACACCCTTGAAAATGTTTGTGAAAATATGCTAACACATGTGCACAAGGTGATACACTTGGTGGTTGGCACATTTGAGCAAGGGTTAGAAACTTCACCGATAGAGTGTTTGCCCGTAGAGTGCGGACAGTCCGACGGTGCCACCGACGCCCTATACAGAAAAGATAGGGGTTCACAGAGTGCACCGGACGCTGGTCTCAACTGGACTGGAGTGTCCGGTCAGTGGAAGCAGTGAAGACGCTAGCATCGGTCTTCGATCGGATGCTGGCGGGGTGCGTCTAGTCCTGCTAACTTGGCAGCACATAGAGGAGACAGTGAGTGACCGGACGCTGGGTGAGTCCGATCGGGCATGACCGAACACGTCCGGTCGCGAGTGGAGGCTTACTGAAAGTGACCAAACATTGGGGTCCTGCCTCCGGTCATGATCAAACTAACGCGTCTGGTCATAGCTGGAACCTTACTGGAAGTGACCGGACGCTGGGGTCCTGCGTCCGGTCGTGGCACAGTGCTGCGTCCGGTCATCACTTGACCGTTGGGATCGGGTGCTCAGTATTTGAAGAGAGGGATGACATGGCAGCCATCCGTTGACCGGACGCTGGCAGGGTGCATCCGGTCACCCCGAGTAGTGCCCAGTGAAGGGGTACAATAGCTCTATTTCATGGGGGTTTCTATTTAAGCCCCATGGTCGGATCTAGCTCACTCTCTTGGCCATTTGCATTGACATAGCAATCTTGTGAGCTTAGCCAAAGCCCTTCCACCCATCTTCATCATAGATTCATCATCTTTGTGAGATTGGGAGTGAATCCAAGTGCATTGCTTGAGTGTTTGCATCTAGAGGCACTTGATGTTCATGTTTCGCTGCGGGGTTCGCTTGTTACTCTTGGTGGTTGTCGCAACCTAGATGGCTTAGAGCAGCAAGGATCATCGAGCGTAGGTTGGTGATTGTCTCCGGCTTCGATCGTGGTGATTGTGAGAGGTTCTTGACCTTTCTCCGGGAGAGAGCCAAAAGGTACTCTAGTCAATTGCTCGTGGCTTATGTGATCCTCATCTTGTGTTGGTTGTGCGGCACCCTATTGAGGGTTTGTCGTGTGATGCCAATTAGTGCGTGAACCTCCAAGTGAGTGAATCACCACAACGAGGACTAGCTTGTCGGCAAGAAAGTGAACCTCAATAAAAAATCATTGTGTCATCATTTGATTCCTAGGTGATTGGTCTTTATTGGTATTTATTCTTGTGATTGATTGGTTCATTCCTCGACTCGGTGGTATAACCATCTTGCTCTCTCTCTTTATATTACCGCAAACTAGTTGTCAAGCTCTTTAGTGTAGCTAGTCGTGAGAGCTTATTAGTTTGGTTAGTGTGGCTCTTTAGTTAGCCTTTGAGAGCACACTAATTTAGTGTAGTGACATAACCATTGTGTGGATAGAAACTATATAAACTAGAATTGTGGTAGGTGGCTTGCATTTTTAGTAGGCTAGTGCAACACTCGTTTCGCCTCATATTTGTCTAACCGGTTTGCTAAATGTTGTTGTAGAAATTTTTATAGGCTATTCACCCCCTCTAGCCATTAGGACCTTTTAGCTCGACCTCCATCCAAGCAGCATGAGATTCATCATGTCATGACCCATCCATCGCGGGCGGCACTGGCGAGCTCAACACGAGGAAGGGCGGCAGCGAGAGCGGCGGCGCGAAGCCACGACGCAAGGACCACAGCGAGTAGTAGAGGGATTGGGAGAGAGGGAGGGGGTTATTTTGGACATCTTGACCGGCTGGACCCACATGTCAGGGCTAGAAAACGGCAAAGATCTAAAGGAAGATGGATGGAATGACATGGATGACAAATAAGTTTAGATGAGTGGCATATGTGACCGCTCAAAATTTTTAGTGGCTTGTAGGTAATTACCGACTTTTATAACGGCACACACGTAAAAGCCTCACAAGGAAACCTCGCCCCATGATTCATCCACCTGGCGTTTCATGACACTCCCATGATGGCGGCGGTGGCTCCCGTGATTCATCATGCGCGGCCATCATCGCCATCGCACGCAGCGCCCTCATCCTCGCTCACGCCCTCGCTCCACGCGTGGCCGGCCACCATTGTCCGCGCATCCCACCGCACCCTCATCGTCACCCTCACCCGCAGCTCACCACGCCCTGTGCCCTCACCCACCCCGCGGCAGCTGGTGAGGCAGCGCTCGAGGATGTACGGAGACGCAGAGGCGCATGGGGGCCAGCTCGTAGCCCTATCCCAGGCCGCACGATGACTACCCTCATCGGGTCGCGAGGAGTCACTTTCGCCGGCCCACCCTGTGCCGTGCGGCGGCGACCTCACTGCATCTTTGTGCTCCGCCACCTACAGGTTTTTCCCTCTCCCTTCCCTGAGCCCCTTCTGATTCACAATCCAATAGTTTGGTTTTTTTTTTTTTTGTGTGTGATCCATTGAAGGAGACTAAAAGCGATTATTGATGAGATCTTTAGATACTAGGCAGTATATTAATCTACGTTACGAACACGTTCATCTTGCCTTTGTCAGTTGTGCTGCATGATGTAGTGAATATGTGGAGTTGTTCCCTCACAGTTATTAGTTTTTTTGCTCCATCATGTAGATACGCAATGTCGCTGATGGCTAAATCCAAGATCCAGTCATACCCTGATCCACTCAATTTGATTTGATTCTCTTTTTTATCTTTGTAATGTTCGTTCATATTTCCCATTAATCTTATTGATCCATAAATTTCTAATTCTCTCTAAAACTATAGGTGGAGCCATGGAGGCATGGTTGTCCGGTGGCATTGCAATGGGGATCGATCTACTGGCTGTACTTGATTTGTTCTCCTTTGGTTTCTCTAACTTCAATTGATTCATAAATGCTAATTTCCCCTAGATGTGATTTGTCCCGCAGTCACCAAACTCATGGAAATAAAG